CGGGAAGACAGCAGACTAGCATCTCAAAGTCTCCAAAGTGTTGAAAATATTTCCAGGCTTATATAAGGAAAATGTGGGACAAAGTTCAGTGAGTACAGGCAGGGGGCAGTAAAGGTCAGGTGGATCATTGCCTTGAAGTCAGTCATGCAGGGTCTTTGTACATCAGGGCAGTCATTATTGCTTGAGGGGATAGTTTCCGTTCAGTCAGGGATGCTTTGCCCACAGGGTCTTTTGCCTGAGTTAAAAGGTAAGCTGGAAAGAAGAATTTAATCAATTAGAAAGTACAGACTGAGGTCAAAGTGCAGGTGGTTGAAGTCCTCTTTCATAAGGAAAAACTTAATTTGAAGGAGTTAATAATAAAACCCACTTCGGTCTGTTTAGGTCAAACTGGCTCCTCTCTCCAGAAGCAACTGAGGTGACCGGTTTCTAGTGCTCCCTACCAGAGGTATCCTAAACAGCTTTATGTGCTGATTGTTTGATGTGCACTATCAAGTTCAATCCTCACATGTCTAAATGGTCTCCTAGGACTATCCCCGTTTTCAAGTAAGAAGATTGAAATTCAGGGCAGGAGTAACAACTTCTTCAAGAGCACACAGCTCAGTAGCAGGGGAAGCCAAATTCAAATCCAGACAGACTTCAGGTTCTCAGTTGTTAACCATGAACTCCTATAGTTTCTATATAGCTGTACTGTATAGTCATGGATAAAGAGGTTGCTAACCACTGGAGCTGAAGAACCAGAGGGTAGTTTTACAGGGAAGACGGGGTCACTGGTGCAGGAGAAAGCACAAAAAGACTTCAGAAGAGAGCTGAGTAAGTCAGGGAGAGTAGCAATGAGCAGGAATGGATGGGATGGGGTAAAGTTGGTACCCCTGCCCTAAACCAGGGAAGTAAATGAAGCAGAGGTGAACAGCTTTGATGTCTCTAATAGGCGCTCAAGAAAGGATGCAACAGGAAGAATAGCTGGTCATTTGGGACTCCCCATAGACCAGGAGAGAGCCTGAGATTCCTAGGAACCAACCAGGAGGTAAATCCTTACTTCTTGCCACCAGATCCCTTCAAAAAATGTCATCTCCCTTTCCCAAGCAGATAGAACTATTTCTTCTTCTTCTTCTTCTTCTTCTTCTTCTTCTTCTTCTTCTTCT